TCATTTCCTCGCTCTATTTCAAATTTCCAATTTATAATTTTAACTAAAAAACTAACTATAAGATCTGTTGCACTATAATATTTATCTATAACGATATAAATACGATAAAAACATTGAATAGATTTATACATACATTACACATTTAACTTATCTTAAAGCTACTGTTTTCCATAAAGTATTTATAATTGTAAAACTTGTGACTTCTTTTGTAATATATAATTCTATTGATTTGCGATGTTCAAGATTATCTGCCTTTACCTGTGGACTCCGCCCGCTAACCAATGGGTGAACAGCCTACCAGAAGATGGCCAGCATCTCAGAGTGGGGCAGTTAGTTTCGGTTTCACCTATGACAAGTGCAAATACTTACCTGTACTGATAAGAAGTGCAGATGGTGCGAGTGTATAAGTGCGGTACCGGTACCGGATGAATGTGTCCAGGAGATGAAGTGGTGCGCTGCGGCAACCCTTCTACTGGCTCTCGTTTTGGGGACGCATAGTTGTGGTCCTGGCCGTGGAGCCGGCCGTCGAAGAAGTCCAAGAAAATTAACTCCTTTGGTCTTTAAACAACATGTTCCTAACGTTCCAGAAAATACCTTAACAGCTAGTGGTCTTACAGAGGGCCGAATTGGGAGAAATGATACCCGATTTAAGGATCTTGTTCCCAATTATAATCAAGATATAATATTTAAGGATGAAGAAGGTACAGGAGCTGATCGACTTATGACACAGGTAAGAATTAATATAAAAGTATTCATTTTTATTTTCCTTGGAAAATTTATTATATATAAATATAATGGAGGTTTTTTAATTTCTAATGTTTGATCTTATTAAAAACAATTTTGTCAGTACAAGTACATTTTATTATTATATGTCATATAAAGGAATATACAAGGTGTAATTCAAATTTTTATAACGGATTTTCAGAAAATAATTAGGAAGCATCTTGTTTTCGAGATACAAGGTACTACTTAAAATTTCTTAAAATTGACTTCAAGTTGCAAAAATTATATTTAATTAATGGAAAACGTAATTACATATTATCATTATTTTAAAATATTACTTTAGGTAACACGGTATGATATTTTAGCATTTATTTCGAAATTGATTTATTCTAGCGACACGTAGCAGCGATACTTTTTAGTTTTCGGTGACATGTACTATTTGTGAATTTGTGAATTTGTAAACACTAAAGCTGCATACTAACTTGAATGAAATCACTTTCACCTCGTATCTCGAAAACAATACTTTTCCGATCATATGTTTATCTCATTTCGTTAATTTGTGATGTAGAATCCGCCATTAGTTTAGACAAGCATTTTTTAAATTACACCCCGTATAAGTATAATTTTATTAAATTCTAAAATATTTTTATGAGGCAAATTAATGTTTACTACTTCTTATTGTACGTGGTAGTATTTATGAAGATAAAAGTTTTTCATGTTCTTCATGTTATCATAATAATAAATTTGCATTCTATTTAAAACCTAATTTTCATTTCATTCTCATTTACCATTATATTAAAAAATAAAATAAAAAGGTATATATTTTATTAAATTTATGTAAGCTAAATAATAACCATTGTAGTTGAAGCGTATTAGTTAAGCGTGAGAAACGAAATATTAATATAAACATTGGATTGTTTGTTTAAATAACACTGTAAACCTGTCCCCTTGTCAGGCATAGATAATAATGTTTACATATTGATATACAGAATGTACAGTATCGCCAGAATAAAACGATATTATTCAGAAATATTTATTAACATTTTATACTATATTTTATTTTTAAATTTCTTTTTATCAGCATAAGAAAAATGTTCTGGAATGTTCACTCACATTCGCTCTTTTTATCTGTAAACCTTTCTATCTAGAAAAACTGGACAAAAAACAAGAGAGACAAATCAAACTAAGGTTTTTCAAATGGAACACCGCTTTTTAAAATGTTCTTTCTTTCTGATTACATAAATAATTTTATATTCACATAAAATTAATATTTGCATTGCTATTTTATGACTTAAATTTTTTCGATAAAAAGTGTACTTGAAAATATAATATTAAAAGACCTCTCGTATCAATTTCTTCATTTAAAGGGCTTTCTCTATTTAAGAAATATATTTCTAAAAAATATGTTTTTGAATAATATTTTGCTGTTTTATTTTATTATTATCAAAATCCATTTTAAAACTTGAAGATTTTACATATTGTAACAGTACACAAACGTCTGGTCTTAATATAATATCACTTTTATGTGAAGAAATACGAAAATTTCTAGATCTATGACGTATAGGTATATTTCTTATTACATTTGTACAATTTATTTTATAAATTACATTAGATCTATCTTTAGTTTGTACCCTATGATTAACCTTTGGGAATAAATTTCCTACAGTTTTTATTGTTCTATTAACAATAATTGCAATATTAATTTCTTCCCCTAATTCTTTTATATATCGAAATGGTTTAAATTTTATATCGAATATATATTCATTATTTATTATATTATAATTTGTTATAATTAAGCATGTTTATTTATTTATTTAGGAAAACGGAACATAAACAGGCTGGCTAAGAGCCCAAAACAATGTTCATGTTCATTGATTAACAACCAAACCAAACATATACAGGGTGTTTCTAAAATAGGGTTCCAAACTTCTGATGCGTTTATAACTCATTAAAATAATCCAAAAAGTTCCTATTAACATGTGCCCTAAAACGCACCCTTAGGAAGTTATATGCCCTTAAAAGGGCTCAAACAAAACTGTTTCTTTCTGTTATTGACAATACGGTCGCAAATAAATAGAAAAAAATGTATGGGTCTTACATAACTTTTTACGTTAAATATCATGGGCTACTCCGTTTTTCGACATGCAAATCATATGCGTCCCGTTTGAAGGGGGTTTTCGGCCCGTAATTTTTTTAATTTCAATTTTTTTACAATTTTCTCTACAGATTTATAAAATCTTAACAATTTTACGTAAAAAATATTATCTTTGTCCAAATCGATATTTCCATTGGTTTTCGAGTAAATTGAGTTTGAAAATTACTCTGCTCTTTAAGTTATTAGGCCAAAAATTACAAAAATCTGTTTACCATGGCAAATAAAAGACTGACGTTGCCACAACGCTTAACAATTTAAGTTATTGATAAACTGTCAATTGAGCTTTGCAGTGTTTAATTAGTAAAAGTGGTGAGTGGAAAATTTAAGTATACAACATTATTGCAACTCATAAAATGGAGTCATATTCA